GAAAAAGGCACATAACGATGTGTTATTCCCGCAAGAGGACAAACACATGAATATTAAGTTTAGGAAATGAAAATGAATTGAAAAACATTAATTCTAGGGTGTTAGAAACAATTAGAACGAAGAACGGATGAAAAAGGGGTTCGAAGGTTAAAGCGAGAAAATTATGATTTTTGATCAATTAGGGTTGACCGAGTCAAAATTTGTGGATGAAGAGTCGACCAATAGGTCACTCTTGAAAATTTAGTCATGGTTGAGTAAAGTTGACACAGTTGACCAACTGTCTGAAAAACGCACACTAGATAAAAATTAAACTGAACTGAAATAAGATAGTTATTAAAAATGAATAGTTGAGATTTAAGGTGATTAACTGGATGGTGGGCTGAGAGTAGGACACCAAAAAAGAGAGGATATGGCCAGCCAAGACTTAGGGGAGAAGCCAAATAGATATTTTGAGTTTTGTTTTTGTAAAAAAGACCCTAGAAAGTGTCAAAATTGCACTAGGTCCCTCCTCTCTTTTGATGAATGGTTTTATAAGGAAAAAATACAAGAAAAATATTCATTTCCATGCAAGAAAAAAAAGAACATGCATCCAAAGAAAGAGAGAAATTTTTTTTCCCAAAGTGAGAAAAATGAGTTTAAATCGAAATCGGCGGAAAAACTACCATTGATTAGCGTCACAGGAGCTTGTCCTTCATTCTTCTAAGGTAAAATTTAAATTTTTCTCCTCATTTTTTACCTTGGCTGCACGTCCATGAATAGTAGAAACCACGGAAAAATTTTACTAAGAATGATGATTTGCTTACGGTTATGAATGGTACTGAAAAACCTGAGTTTTAAAGGTTAAATTTTAGGTTATTGGATTATGTTTTTAGCATTTTTGTTTAGAGAGAAATCTTGTGAGAATAATGAAGAAACCCTAGAGACTATGATTTTTATGATGATAAAAAGGAATGAGAATGATTGGGATATGTGTTTGAAAGGTTGAAACAACGGATAAAACAAGCTATGGTTAGCTCGGGAAACCTAAAAATTAGGCGGAACTCCGTCAAAATTTAGTTTGCAAATTAAAATAAACCCGGTTATAATGAAGAATAGGGGGAATGAAATGTGTAAACTAAGTTGAATTGGTGATTAAATGTGTGTAGAAACTTAAAACAATGAAAATTCTCAATTTTAGACCAAAATCGAAAACTAGATTATTGACTCCAAAAATGGTACCCGGCACAGTTTTAGTTAGAAGACCAACATAGAAGCTTAATCTTAAAAAGTAACCAACAGTAAGTTAAAGGAAATTTTGTTCCGAACAACTTTTGTGAAATAAAGTTTTTCCCAAAAATGACCCTAGACATTGGTTTTGGTCTGATTTCCAAAACATGTCCAAAATGTGACTTCATGAAAAATGTGCACGAGTTTGGTGCACATTGGTGATATAGAAGATGTTTTGGTCTGGATACTGAACATGAAATCGTAGATCTCTTCAAGGATTTTATACACGACGTACGCACTTTAAGAAAATAACATTTACAAAATCACGAATTTGTGTCAAATTGTATTGCAATTACTTATCTTAGATTATAAATCTAACGATCAGGAATTTATATGATAGGATCATAGGCGATCAAAGCGGTAAATTTGCTGGTCACTCAAAAGTCGTGACTTTAGAGGAACTTCTGTAAGTATCAGCAGTTTTTCTTGTCTATGACACGAATAAAGTCATTTCTTCATGTTGCACAAAATTGTGCATATTGTAGACATAATGTATGCTAATATGTGAATGATGTTTCTTGAGTATTATTTCTTGCGATGAAAGTGCTTATGGGCTTAGAGTAGTAGCAGAATTTTAATCTGCAAAAAAGTCAAAGTCAAAGTCAACAAAAATCAAACGTTTAAACAAAGTCTAATTTCATAGGAAATTGGTATAAATGCTTAAGGATGCAATGATAAGACTAAAATTAGTCATAATAAGAAAAAAATGACGCTAAGATGATAAGATTAAAATTATTGTCATGATAAGAAATGATGATAGTAAGATGATGTATAAAGTAAAGATGACAAATGATAAAAGTTAATAAAATTATTTGTACCGACCTTTGCAAGGGATGTTATTATGAATAAAACCATGGGTGAGTTGGTTTTAGGTAGCTCCCCCACTCCTCATTGGGTATGTGGGCAACAGTACAACAGTTACGGGGCCCATAAGAAGTAAAAGTTAAAAATTAAGATTAAAATTAATGTCATGATAAAAAGGATGACAGTATGACGATGTATGAATTAAAGATGATGAATGACAGAAAGTTAATAAAACTGTTTATACCGGCCTTCGCAAGGGACATTATTATGAATAAAACCATGGGTGAGTTAGTTTTGGGAAGCTCCCTCACTCCTAATTGGGTATGTGCGCAACGATACAATAGGTACGGGGCCCATAAGAAGTAAAAATTATGATAAACGAATGACACAAGAATGAAAGTTATAAAGAAATATGAAATGAAAGAAAAGAAAGCATAACACGATGAAATGAAAGAAAATAAATCATGACACGATGAAATGAATGAACAGAAAGCATGACACGATGATGTGCGTTTAAGAGATGAATCCCGGGGTAAATCTCGTAGGGACAAGCGGTTGCTTTCACCCGCAAAATATGCGCTTGAAATCAGCCCCGAAAACTCGTGATGTGCTTTCAAGGTAAAAATTACGTTCAGTGGCCTGAAAATAACATCTCACCCTGATCACCGGAACATTGAGGAGTACTGTGAATTTCACCGAGATTACAGACATCCCACCGGTGACCGCAGAATATTATGGCTAGAAATCATCGAATTGCTGAAGAAGGGTCACCTAAAAGAGTTCTTGAGCGATAAAGGACAACAGACATACAGGTTGCCCACCGTACGGATCGACTGAGACAAAAAGGAGCGTAGCAAGACCCCATCGTCACCACAAGCGAAGAAGGTCATGAGAGCCATCCTCAGCGGCGCCTCATACATCAGTGACACATGCTCCGCTTCTAAATGCTACATGAAGAAAGCAGTTGTTCCACTGCCTGACTACTCACCTGATTACTCGACCATCGATCATCTCATCTCTTTTCACGAAAGAGCAGCAGTGAGTCTCTGCCGCCCACATGATGACGCGCTAGTCATCTCTACCCATCGTAAATTGTAAGGTCGGATGGATCCTAGTCGACAATAGCATCTCAGTAGACATCATATTTCTCTCAGTACTCAAGGATATGGACATCATGAGAGCCAAATTCAGAGGACGAACACCACCTTGGTCAGATTTAACGATGAGTCGGCGTCGGCAATCAGAAAGATCCAATTGCCCGTTTTTGTAATGTATGATGGTCAGGCTCACCCAACCAAATTACAGGACTGGCTATACCAAATTGAATATTTGATGGTAGCTTGTGATATTGATGAGAGTGATTGGGTGATTCTAGCCGCCGGCCTATTAGAGTCTGACGCTAGACAGTTTTGGAGAGGTGTGGTGGAAACAAGAAATGCACATGAGGTCCCATTGGGCAATTTTTGTAGTTTACTGCTAGCTCAATTTCCACCGAGAGAGGTACCTGTAAGGATGGCACTAGAGGTTGCCTCTACCTCACAGGCTCAACCACATATTGGGGAGACTGAATTTAAGAGAATGGAGAAGTATATACACAAGGTCGATATATTTAAGATGCGACCTTATGACACTGTGGCAATCTACGCTGATCGGTTCTTTAGTGAGATTATGACTGATCCACTATTGAGTTAAAAGAACAGGATGCATGTTTCATATTATGGAGGGGGTTAACAGAAGAGTTACAAACTATGGTATTTCCATGATGGGAAGTTACATATACCCTCACCCAGTTTGTAGAGGAAGTAACGAAATTAGAAGAAACTTTGGCTATAGAACGAGAGGAGCAGGAACGACGCGTTAGTGAGCGTCGAATGGAGTTTGAACGTAGGCAGAGAGAATACCTACGTAGAAATAGATCAGTGGAGGTGTGTTCTGGAGTAGAAATTGGAACAACATCATCACCCTAACAACAGGGACAAGCAAATGTGGATTCCCAAAACACCTCAAATACATGTGAGGAAGAAGATCTGGTGGAGGATTTTTGGGAAGCCACTGGGAATTAAGCTGATGTACAGTATGATGTAACGTTTTGATGATGATGTTACATTTTGGCAATGTAAAAAAAAAATGTACTGTGGATGTATAAGATAATCATACTTGTCTTGTGTAAGTAATGAATGATGAATGTATATGTATGTTTGAGCAGATATGTGTATGTATGTGTATACAGGTATACAAATGAATCAAATATAGGAAAAAAATGCTGTTACCTAGGAATGCATTTTTTTTTAAATGATAAGTGTGGTTAAAATACAACTAGAATGCCACCACATTTAATAAAAGTTGTATTATTTTTAAAACAACTTTATGTTATGAAATGATGTTATGATTTATTTAGATTTATACATATACACATATCTAGAAATTTAACAATGATTACCATTATTCCTCTTATGTAGACACACGGAAACATGGTTCGTCCACGTAGAGAACGATTGGTCCAAGAACTAGAAGGGGATTTAGCTGCCACCATAGCTAATTTACGAGCCAGACTTGAGGCTCAAGAGCATGAAAATAGAAATTTACGGGCACAGTTAGAGCAACGAGACCAAGAATAGGAGCGAAGAATAGCGCCACCTGTTCAACTGGCACCGCAACCAGAGCCTGCGGCGATGCTAGAAATGGTGCCACAAGCTATGTCGATTGCTAATCAGGAACCATTATATGTTTGGTTTCGTAGGATGAAGCCACCATAATTTGAAGGTTCCACTGACCCACTAGAAGCTGAGGACTGGTTAACTTCACTCCAAACGATTCTGGATTTCATGAATCTAACGGAGCAAGAAAAAGTTCTCTGTGCTTCGTATGTGTTAAAGAAAGATGCCCGCTACTGGTGGGAGACAGTGGTAATAAGAAGGAATGTAGCAATGATGACTTGGAATGAATTCTTAGGGGAATTCAATGCTAAGTACTATGATACTGTAGGTCTCCGAGCTCAACAAAATGAATTCAATAATTTGAAGCAAGGTGATATGACTGTTATGGAGGCTCTCACCCAGTTTGTAGAGGAAGTAACGAAATTAGAAGAAACTTTGGCTATAGAACGAGAGGAGCAGGAACGACGCGTTAGTGAGCGTCGAATGGAGTTTGAATGTAGGCAGAGAGAATACCTACGTAGAAATAGATCAGTGGAGGTGTGTTCTGGAGTAGAAATTGGAACAACATCATCACCCTAACAACAGGGACAAGCAAATGTGGATTCCCAAAACACCTCAAATACATGTGAGGAAGAAGATCTGGTGGAGGATTTTTGGGAAGCCACTGGGAATTAAGCTGATGTACAGTATGATGTAACGTTTTGATGATGATGTTACATTTTGGCAATGTAAAAAAAAAATGTACTGTGGATGTATAAGATAATCATACTTGTCTTGTGTAAGTAATGAATGATGAATGTATATGTATGTTTGAGCGGATATGTGTATGTATGTGTATACAGGTATACAAATGAATCAAATATAGGAAAAAAAAATGTTATTACCTAGGAATGCATTTTTTTTAAATGATAAGTGTGGTTAAAATACTACTGGAATGCCACCACATTTAATAAAAGTTGTATTATTTTAAAACAACTTTATGTTATGAAATGATGTTAAGATTTATTTAGATTCATACATACACACATATCCGGAAAGTTAACTATGTTTACCATTATCCCTCTTATGTAGACACACGGAAACATGGTTCGTCCACGTAGAGAACGATTGGTCCAAGAACTAGGAGGGGATTTAGCTGCCACCATAGCTAATTTACGAGCCAGACTTGAGGCTCAAGAGCATGAAAATAGAAATTTACGGGCACAGTTAGAGCAACGAGACCAAGAATAGGAGCGAAGAATAGCGCCACCTGTTCAACTGGCACCGCTACCAGAGCCTGCGGCGATGCTAGAAATGGTGCCACAAGCTATGTCGATTGCTAATTAGGAACCATTATATGTTTGGTTTCGTAGGATGAAGCCACCATAATTTGAAGGTTCCACTGACCCACTAGAAGCTGAGGAGTGGTTAACTTCACTCCAAACGATTCTGGATTTCATGAATCTAACGGAGCAAGAAAAAGTTCTCTGTGCTTCGTATGTGTTAAAGAAAGATGCCCGCTACTGGTGGGAGACAGTGGTAATAAGAAGGAATGTAGCAATGATGACTTGGAATGAATTCTTAGGGGAATTCAATGCTAAGTACTATGATACTGTAGGTCTCCGAGCTCAACAAAATGAATTCAATAATTTGAAGCAAGGTGATATGACTGTTATGGAGGCTAGTCGTAAGTTCGATCGATTGGCAAGGCTATGCCCTCAGCTAGTGCCAACAGAAATGGAAAGGGTGTGACGAATGTTAGTGATGTTTCGCCCCGAAATAGCTACAGTAGTAGACAGTGGGGAAAGACCACCCACAACAGTGGCAGATTGTGTTGGTAGAGCAGTCCAAGCAGAATATCACCTAGCCCAAGCTAAAGAAGAGAGAACCAAATTCTAGGATGCCAAGAAAAAGGAACAAGCCCAAGCAAAGCAAACCCAAAAGAGGAATCAAAAGAATAATCAAGCTGGTCAGAGTAACCAAGCTAACAGAACTGGCCAAGGAAATTGACCTCTGCATAGTCATCCACAAAATAACCAGAGCCTGAATAAGAGGAAGATAAATTTTGATAGAAATCGAAACTTTAATTCCCAAAGTCTGCAACAGAGGCAAGATCGCAACACGAATATAGTTGAGTGTTCTAAGTGCGGAAAGAAACATTCGGGTGTATGCCGTTATGGAACAAACAGTTGCTATACATGTGGCAAAGATGGCCATTATTCCTGGAATTGTCCTCAGAATTCAAATAGACAGCCTACTAACCAGGCAAATGTGATGTAGATAAGAGTTGAGGAAATGCAACCTCAGCAAGATGGAATAGAAGCCCCGTCGCAAACCAATGCTAGGTTGTTGGCATACACGAGAAATGATGCAGAAGCTGGCACGTCAAGAGTCGTGACAGGTCAGCTTACTATTGCTTAGCACTTAGCATATGCATTATTTGATTCCGGTGCATCACATTCGTTTGCATCACATTCGTTTTCATCATATGGATTTGCTGAGAAATTAAATTATGCTATGAATAGAATTGGTCAGACATTTAGGACTACCCTGCCATCCGGGGAAATTCTATTGTCAGAATTTAGGTTAGAGCATGTACCAATAGTCATAGCTAATAGGGGGCTATACACAAATCTAGTTGTATTAAAGATAATCGACTACGACGTCATCCTAGGAATGGATTTCTTAGGAAAATATCAAGCTACTATCGATTGTCATAATAGGAAGGTGATTTTCCGACCCGATGGGGAAAAACTTTTGAGTACGTTGATCGCTCTAAACGTACCCCCAGACGAGTAATTAGTGCAATGGAAGCAAAGAAATTACTTTCAAGTGGTTGCGAAGGATATTTAATTCATGTTGTGGATACGACTAAAACTGATAACTGGCAACCAAAAGATGTGTCGATAGTTCAGAATTTTCTGGAAGTCTTTCCGGAAGAATTGCCAGGATTGCCACCAGAACGTGAGATTTCACTTGAAATCAAACTTTTACCTGAAACGACACTAATTTCTAAGGCTCCTTATAGGATGGCTCCAGCAGAACTTAAGGAATTAAAAATGCAACTACAAGAATTAATGGACAAAGGATTTATCCGACCAAGTTATTCACCTTGGGGAGCCCCTATATTGTTTGTAAAAAAGAAAGATGGCACATTAAGAATGTGTGTTGACTATCGTGAGCTCAATAAGGTCACGATAAAGAATAAATATCCTCTGCCCAGGATTGATGACTTATTCGACCAACTCAAAGGGGTGGCAATATTCTCAAAGATTGATTTGGGATCTGGATACCACCAATTGAAGATTAAAGAAAAAGATATATCTACGACGGCTTTCAGAACGCGTTATGGACATTACGAGTTTCTTGTGATGCCGTTTGGACTAACTAATGCCCCAGCAGCTTTTATGGATTTGATGAATCGTATTTTTAAGGAATATTTGGATAAATTTGTTATCGTTTTTATCGACGGCATACTAGTTTATTCAAAGAATAATAAGGAACATGAAGAGCACTTGAGAACTATTCTTCAAACGCTGAAAAGACATCAGCTATATGCTAAATTCTCCAAGTGTGAATTTTGGCTCAATAAAGTTCATTTCTTAGGACATGTAGTCTCGAAGGATGGAATCTCGGTGGATCCAGCAAAGATTGAAGCTGTTAGTAACTGGCCCGCACCAAGAAACGTAACAGAGATTCGCAGTTTCCTAGGTTTGGCCGGGTATTACAGAAGATTTGTAGAAGGTTTTGCAAAACTAGCTGCACCACTTACTACCCTCACACGAAAAGAAAAGAAGTATGAATGGACTGAGAAGTGTGAAGAAAGTTTTCAAGAATTGAAACAAAAGCTGACTACTGCACCAATCCTTACTATTCCAAAGGAAGGAGAAAAGTTTGGCGTATACAGTGATGCTTCCAAACTAGGGTTGGGAGCGGTATTGATGCAAAATGGAATGGTAATTGCGTATGCGTCTAGACAATTGAAAACTCATGAGAGAAACTATCCTACTCATGATCTTGAATTAGCAACAGTAGTTTTTGCTTTAAAGATATGGAGGCATTATTTATATGGTGCACAATGTCAGATTTTCACTGATCACAAAAGCCTCAAGTATTTCTTTACACAGAAAGAACTTAATATGAGGCAACACAGATGGTTGGAGTTAGTAAAGGATTATGATTGTGAAATCTTTTATCACCCTGGAAAAGCCAATAGGGTAGTTGATGCTTTAAGTCGTAAGACTACCAAATTAAGTCATATGTCATTGGATAGATTTCCAGCACTTTTACAAAAGGATATTCATTCATTAGGGTTGGAGCTAATTACAGGTAAATTAGCCGCTCTTCAAATACAACCATCTATTTTTGACAAGATGGAAACAGCTCAACGTCAAGATTCTACTCTTGACAAATATTGGAAAGAAGCTGAAGAAGGAAAAGAGACAGAATTCAAAGTCTCTGATAAGGGAATACTTATGTTTCGAGGAAGAATTTGTGTTCCAAAATATAAAGATCTTAAGAGTCAAATTCTTTTTGAAGCTCATAGTACCCCTTATTCGATACATCCAGGAGCGACTAAGATGTTTCAAGATCTAAAACAACACTTTTGGTGGAGATATATGAAAAATGACATCGTGGACGACGTTAGTCGTTGTTTAACATGTCAAAAGGTTAAAGCAGAGCATAAACGTCCAGCTGGAGAGCTGCAACCGTTAGATGTTCCGGAATGGAAATGGGAGCATATAACTATGGATTTTGTGGTAGGACTACCCAAAACAAGTGAAGGTTATGATGCAATCTGGGTAATTGTTGATAAATTGACTAAATCTGCCCATTTTGTACCCATAAAAGTGACGTATACCCTTGACAAGTTAGCAGAGTTATACGTCACCAACATAGTTAGACTGCATGGAATACCTTTATCCATTGTCTCAGATCAGGATAGCCGCTTTACCTCCATGTTTTGGAAGAGTGTACAAGAAGCCATGGGCTCAGAATTAAGATTTAGCACAGCTTTTCATCCTCAGACTAATGGACAATCAGAACGTACCATCCAAAGGAGACATGTGTGATGGATTTTAAAGGAGCATGGAATAAGAAACTGTCATTGATTGAATTCTCGTATAA